TTCACAGGTCAGCCCTCTACGCAACTAGATACCGTCTAGTACCCCTGTACGGTTCTTTTGTCCGAGGGGACTTGAGCATGGCAGGTCAGGCAGGTAAAGCAAATGTAAAGGATCACAAAAGTAATGCTGGAGGCAGGGTAAAATCTACATTGCTGCGGAAATGTATGTGGGGCTGGAACTTGCAAAGCAAGCCAGATGTATGTAAGGTTTTGCAAACATATGCGTACATACTTTGCTTACTTGTGTGTTTGTTTATTTACATTGATATATACTTCTTTTCCAACGTACTATATATGTGTTATATATATACATATATATATATAAGTAGAGGTTTGTATTTGCACTGGCAGTGTGCGCACCCAAGAGGGTCAACCAGCCTGCACCTCGACTCTAGCATAGGAGTTCGTGCCAAAGCGGTGCTCGACGGGCTCCTCACCAGGAGGCAAGTACGAAGCATTCGGAAGGCAGGAAGGCAGGCACCTTTCAAAGGGAAGACAGGCCAAAAGGTTTTGAAGCTGAACCCAGAACCATGGAATGTGCGACATGTTCCTGCCTTGTCATTCTCGCAGAGAAAGCCGATGTCAAACAAGTTGAATGTCTGCACACCTTCGCCTAAGAGTCGAAGCAACGCAGAGCACCCTGCATCAACACGCGGGAAGGTTGACGCTGTCTTGCGTCTTGACAACAAGGCAGTTCTTCCCAATCCCATCCTGATAACCGAAAACACTCTTGCGTAGGCCACTGGGTAGGTGTCGAGATTTGAGAAGTACGACGTCCTAAACCTGGCGAAGAAGGAAGACTCCAGGAATGCGGCAGTCCGTCTTCAGAAAGCAAGTCCCAGAGCTCCTTCGGACCAGGGAGACGGACCAAGGAAGGGGACAAAAGTTTTCATATCGGAAAAGCCGATGAATTCTGCTTCGATGCTCTGCGCAAGTCACAGCTTGCTCGGGAAAAGCCGGCATGCTGACAATGCAGTGCTGGCAAACTATTTGACTGAACTCTCGTGCTGATCAAGTGTCGCATCGCGCCATGTCGAAACGCAGTTCTCCGGGCCGAAAGTACCTCGACAAGCTGGAAAGCCCTCGGCCAGTCAGCACCAACTCAACATCGGTCAACATCGCTGAAACGTTCGCCAATCATCAACCATGCGAATCACGTTGTTTCAGATGTGTTGTGAAATTTCTCAGGACATGCTGCACCCTACTAGGGTTGAAGTCCCTAGGGTCCCTATAATGTCCCAACATCCCGCAGCTGGCGAACAGCTCCTGACTCGTAGATACTCGTAGCAGCAGAGGCGCGAAGCAATGACGAAGCCCCCAAGTTCGGGCTGACCTGCAACGAAGGCCCGCACGGCGCAGTAGCCGTCTTTCACACATTTGTCGGATCCACGTTGCATCCTTCACCCTTCCAGTTCGGCTCGAGTCTATATCTGACTGAACAAAAACGATTGTTAGTAACTTGGAGAGCAACCGGCATTCCTCGCCTCCGCAGCACGCTTGCGTGCTGCACTGCGGGCTTCGCGGGCCTCGCAAAGCTTCCATGCAGACTTGGAAGCAAGAGTACGGTTGCAGACTCCTTTCTGACACACGCGGCAACACAGTGGAACGAGCTTTGACGATAGAAGTGGCAACCGTAGCTCATTCAGCTTTTACACATAATGACAGTAAAGCCCCAATGCTGCGTTTGCTTCTGCATCGTCAGAGTTACTATATATCGAGAAAGATCTCGAATATCGATAAGAGCGCCTGGGTTACGTGGGGATTTTGGTTCTCGATTGAAGCGCTTCGCCGGACTCAGCGTTACGTTGTGCCGGGCGGCCCCAACCGTCAACTGGCGCGCTCGCGGTGCTCGCTGTTGCCACGCTGTCTGAGCTGCATGGAGCGAAGTCTCAGCAATCTGGCGATCCTGCAACAAAGGCAAGAACAAAGAAGTAACTGCAATACCATGCATCCGATGTCAAGTCCTGCAACCTGCCTGTTAGGAGTAGAGCTACAGTTCCATGCCGGCCTCCTCGCTTCCACCAGCAGCTCGACGCAGCTGCGCACGGCGGAGTCGCGCTGCGGAGCGTGCAGCCGCAGCCTTTTCAGCAGTCAGAAGATGTCAGAATGGCTTGTGGCCTGTGGGGCTGTTCAGTTCCAAGCCAACTTTGCACAAGGGCATGCTCTGAAATTTACACCTGCAGAGTCTCCCCATCCTAAATCTCCCAAACCCCAGTCACAGCAGTTGATACGTGGCCTCTGCCACCATAGCTTCCGACTCAGCTGTTGAAGCTGCCTCCTGTTCCAGCGCACGACAGTAGCGGGAGCAGAGCAGGGAGCGGTTCTTACGGCACATACACCTGCAGAAACTGGTAGCGCATCGTACTCCAAAAACGCTTAGCAGACCAGCACCACGCAGCTGCGCCAAGCAGAATCGATCTGCAACACTTCTGTAAACGACCCTTGTCGGCTTAAGACACGACCGTGTCGAAACATCTGGGTGCGATGGAGCAATGACCTCGGCCGTCTCGGTCTCTGCCAAGAAGGATATCGCCTGAAAGATTTGTTGAAGCTGACTGTGCGCGACAACAATGTGCTCAGATGGCGAAGTTCAGTCCCAAAGGTTCCGAACCGACGACTCAAAGCTGAACCAGTCGCATCGAAGTTGGCCGGCAGGGCATGCATCGACTGAGGCGACGTAGAACCTCAGCCAGAAGCACAAAACCTCAAATGTGCTCGTCGCGAGATTTGTGAAACTAAGCAACGTGAACAAATTATGAAAGAAACGCGACAGACAGATCAAGAAAGCTAGCAATGGCTCATACTTGGTTCCAGTTACTGGCGCGGAATCGCACCTGACCCTGCTCCTTCAAACTCCAACAAGTGATTTAAAACAGCCACCGGGTCAACGTTCGTCCTTTGAGCACCTTCAGGCAAACCCTGCTTCCAGAAGAGACACTGAGCGGTTTTGAAGAAGACTGGGTCAAAGCCAACCTCGGGCGTGCATGCAAGATGCTATCGTACGTTCTGCGGAGCTAGATGAAACAGCAAACTCGTTTCGAGATGCCTCGAGCAAGTCTGAGTAGTTTTGTCCGAGAAGCGGGACCGAGGAATTTTTTGCGGCATCATCATCGTCCTCCTCATCATCATCCTCATCGCCTGATCGGGAAAATCGAAAGGACAGCACTGACAAAGGAGCGAATGTCTCCCGAACACTAACCTTACAAATCTCACGTCTCAGATCTCTGGTTTGCCTTCGTCGTCCTCTTCGCTGCTTGCAATCACCTCGTCGTGATTGATGCTGTCGGTCACACGCTTCGTGTCAGCCGCCGCCCGAGCTGGTGCCAAAGCCACTGCCTGCTCGGACACGAAAGCCAAGCAGCCTGAATGGTGTTGCTTGTGCCGGCACCCATGTCCAACCTCCCAAAAGAGGGCAGCCATCACCAACCTCGAAGTCAACAAGACGTTTCTAGGCGAACCGTCTTCTACTACGAGTGCCAAGTGCACGGGATGGCAAACACAAGCTACAGAACAAAGGCTGACTGTCCAAAACGATGTCCCGGGACCCTGGCAGCCAGCATGGCGCTGGAGACTTCATTGGCCCAAGCACACTCCGGTGCTATCGGGCAGGGGCTCTTGAGCCCAAGACTGGTCACATACACAGGAAAGCACCAAACAGATCGGCCAAGCAGCCTCTTCTGACTAGTGTATTTTTTGGCTAGCCAAACTCAGATCTTCGTCTTTGTGACATGTGGAAGCGGACAAACATCCTGGCTCGGCCCCGATGAGCTCTGCACACTGCCTGCCGAGTACTTGGATGCACGGCCCATCGGCCACAGGGCTGTCAGCGCAGCTCGAGATCTGAGTACTGAGTACGTACTGCTACGGCACGTGCCCTAAGCTTAATCCTCAAGATCGGCCTCCTTGCAGTTTCCAATGCCTTCTTGGCCTGGGCAAGGTGTGCTGGGTGCACCATGGAAACTCGATATATCATGTGGGTGCGGTGTTCGGTCTGGGATTGAACGGTGCGCACAACATACGCTTCTTACTGCTGCATCCCACCATGTCCCTCCAAACACGGCCGCCGCTCAGAGACATCATCTGTACTCATGCTGGCAATAAGGGCACAGCCAAAAGCTGGGACGTTACCAGAATACCAGGCTCTAGGAGATGGGTGCTTTCCAGCACGTGCCCTCACTGGATCCTTGGCTGCGGGAGTGACCTCCTTGAGGGCTTCTCGGCAGGCATGTTCGCCCAGCGTGCTCAGGAGACTGCCGCGCAAGTCTGCGACACACGCAGACGACAAAAGGCTGGCCACGGTCAACGGTTGCGCCATGTTGCGCCGATCCTATATCACCACCCAGGTCTGGGCAAGTCGGTCGGTGAATTGTGTCGTGAGCGACTGGATGCGTTCCATCATGGGCGTCAGCAGCCTCAGTCGAGCTCTTTGCAGCTTCGTCTCCTCTTCCTGCGCTCAGTGCCAGTGCCTGCGTAACGGATCATCTCCTGAAGAGCATGTGGCGGAGTCTAATCAATTTCAGCGAGGATTCCCAAGGTGCGGCGCCATTCATGTTCAATCCCAGTTCTGCTCGTTACAGCACGCTACGCATATTTCGTCAAACTCCTGCCCCCACCGCGTTCCCACCACATCTCCAAAACACACACACACACACACTTTTTTACTTGCGTGACTTGTACTTGCGAATCTGGACCAACCCCAGCTGCGCCAAGTCTCTTCCCAATGCCTGAGAATGTGGCCTGAATGCCGTAGAAGTGGGAGGACGACGGGTTTCCCCAGTGTGTGCTCCTGATACTGAATTGCACCGTTGAGCAGCTTCGAGAACGTGGCGGGGACAAAGATTCCAAACTCAGGGCTAGTACGGGCCCCTGGCATCATCGTGGTCATCGCAGCACATACCTCTTTGTCGATTGGCGTTGTACCTGGATCAGGGACAACAACCATAATTGAATGAACAAGCCTGGAACGGAAGCCGCCACCAGAATCTTGATCAAGATCCACAACTTAACCGATGCCGCGGTTGGATACGAGCCCAAACCAACGAATTGGTGGCGGGCCATTGTAGTCCAAGTAGATTGGCCTCGGAGTCGCGTGTCAGCATATGTTCCATTCAAGCCAGTGCAGTTTTGCGGCACTAGTGGCGCACCCTCCCCGCAGGCAGGCCGGCTTGCTGAGATTCCCGGCGGGCCTGTCCCGTTCACGCCATCGACAGCGGGCCTCCGCAACGGTTTTGCCAAGGCCCCAACAGTTCCTGCCGAAAGGGGGGGGGGGGTGCTTAAAGATTCGTCGTTTAATATTACAATGTTAGACAGATCTGATAACCAGCTACAGGTAGCACATGGCAGGACAGAACTCAAGATGTCCGGATGCTACATGCAAAGCTTCAACGAGACCCTCAGTGCTGGACGCCATTTTGGAAGAGCTGCAGGCAGCAAAGCACCGTCGAAACGTCTTTAGGCGATGATGGTTAACCTCCGCATGTCTCCCTTTGGAGAGCTGTCTGGGCTTGTCTTATCCCACCTGCCATCCAAGCAATTGTCGCAAATGGTGAGCTCCCTTGGTCGCAAAGTCAAGGGTCAAATGATCTCCATGTCATGTTGTCGTCTGCTTTGGGCCGAGCTTCCGGATTGGTAACGAGAAACGGACCTGTAGAAGCTGGAGGCTCCAAGAAAGAAGGATGACTGTGCACAAGGCCAGCTGCTGAGCTCTGCAAATACCACGGACACGGCAGGTTGTCAACCTTTTGTGTCCGTGCGCCAAGCTCGAGGCAGCCTTGTTGGCCGATGCGAAACGGTCAGGTTTGCGGGTCGATCTTTGCAGCCCTCCTGACTTCGACTACGCCCGAGAGCGCAGGGCGACTCACAGCTCCTTCTTCGCAGCCTGCTGCGAAGCATGGTACCAACCCTCACGGAATGCCGAGTGCGACACCAGTGCGCAATATGCTTGCCACTAGGACATGGATCATGGGCAGGACAGGCTTCACAAGGCAAACCTGTTCCGAGTTCGCACGGGCTGTCTGACAATGCCACATGTTCAGTGGGTCTCAGCTTTGTTCATCTAGTTGTCTGGCCAGGTGCAACATCGAAAACAGTTGTTGACTCAGAATTAGCCCACCCCCCCTACACCAGCCTTTCCCTTGCCAGCTTTTTCCTTGCCCGGCTTCTTTGGGGCACCAGCTGAAATTCCTGTGGCAAGTGTATGCAAGTGTGTGGCTGCGCCTGCAGTGATCACAACACCACGGCAGGTGCCTCCTTCCTTTGCGGGTAACACCTGGGAAGACCGCGCTTATGGTGGGACTTGTGAGGGTATGCCGAGAGGTGTGGCAGGCTTGCACGTTCATTCGCGGAGGATGCTCGGCTGCGGCATGCACCGGATTAAACTTCAGCAATCAAGTAGCAATGCAGCCATGTCGCCTCTGCTTTGTTCTTTTGTCCGCATGCGGCCGCCGTCTTGCAGACCTGATAGGCCAGGGGCTTACGAGTACTTGCATGGGCCTGGGTCAATTGGCCACCGGGGTCAACCGCTCGAATTCAAGATTTAGCAACACACGACCAGGAACCTCCTCCGCGATATGCGTCAGGTTCTGCTCCTCAATGGGCCAAACGTTTTACTGCAAAGGTCTAAATTTCAGGAGACAGGAGAGATCGAGGCACGAAATTCCAAGCTTTCCTCAAAACACCTACAGTAGCAAACCTTCCATGGCCTCATTCTTCGAAGCGTTTTTGTCATGACTGCTACCAGCACTCTCTCTCTCTCTCTCTCTCTCTCTGTCCTCGCGGCTGAGGCTTCGTAGCCTGCTGGCCTTGGAGCCAGGAGGCAAAGAAAGCTCTGGTAAGTCATGAGAAACCACTTGCATGGCATGACAGAGCTGGCACTCAAAGACTGCCAAAACCGGCACGTCCGGAGCCCATCGAAGATCAAGGCGGGCACCAGTTCGTCGGCTAAGGCATCGCTATGTCGAGCCACGCTCTGTTCGCATGCCTTAAGATGCTTCGCGCGTGCGCGGGGCTAGCAGAGGCGGCATCACTGTCTGCAGACCCTTGCGAAGGCGTTCACAGTAACAGTTGCAGTTGGATGCAGTTGGGATGACCGGGTGGTGGCGGGTGATGGGCGACGGATGGTGCAAAGCGGTGGACTGTGGTCGGACGGGTATATGATGGTGGAGGTGGCGCAGCAGTGGTCTTCGCTGCACAATTTTAACGAGCACCCCAAACAGCAAACCGGAATAATCAAGGAGTCGTGTTACTCTTGGGGGCATTCGTTTGCAGACTGTTTTCTCGTTGGCAGCCCCTACCATTGGCTCTAGTTGGGACGATTCCGAGCATGTCACGACCCAAGACGTTGACGAGGGTCCGTTAAGCCCAAAAACCCTGAAACACCCTCAGCCATCGAAACTTTATGTGACATGTCAGGTCACCACACAGACCTGGCTGAGCTTCCTGCTTGCCTTCACACGCAGAACAACAGAAGACATCGCATGGAATGAGAAGACTGTATGTTTGGAAGTACGAGGCACGTAGAAAAAGCCTTCTTTCCAAACCTGGCGGAACATGAACACAAAGGGCCGCAGCTGCTTGTGATTGCTTATGCATGACGCAGTGCTTCATTTGCATGAATATGTCTAAGCGCAGCCTGCCGCAACCTATGGCAATTTGAACAATGCGTCTGCCAACCTCGTAGGTGTCGATGGCTTGCTGGCTAGGCGGAGTAGGGCTTTGCCACAGGCCTTGGTGCTGATGGACGATATACCAGTTGCATGAGTTTGAAGTTCGAATGACTTTTAGTGGCAAGGTCAGGCTCTGGCGACCCTGCCAGCAGCAAAAACGACCGAACCGCCCCACTTCGAGGTGCACGTGTCAGACAAACATCTTCAGTCATGGGCGACCCGGCGATTCACTCGGGTTAAACAGGGTTAAACCAAATGATGCCCTCCCGCTCGCGTAGCCCGTGTTGCATTGATTGCGTACCAGCCACATGGTGAGGTATCGTTTTTGTAGTCTGGCGCCACCTGCCAAACAAGTTGAGTCGTGACAGTGACCAGAGGGGTCCTGTGTGTGCGGCCGCTCGGCGCCTTCTTTGCAATTGAATCATACATAGGAACACCGGCACACTGCCCAACCGTCGGAGAAGCATTGGTCACTCGCAGAGATTCACAAAGTTTGCAGGCTTTTGGGCGGCGCCCGAGCTGCATCGAATTTATGCAGTTGTGCGGAAAGGCGTGCCTCCCGGCATGCTCGAAGCATGTAGCCTTGCGCAACAAGCTCGTCCTGGCAGCGTCAAGAATGCTTCTGGCTTTCGGTGCGGCTGCTTTGGACCTTTCTTGCTTGCAAGTGTTGCTTGGCACTCTGCCTGTGTCGAACAAGCAGGCCCAGCACACGGCCGCCATGATCCGACCCTTAGGCCATTTAGTCCTTCGGCCTTCGGCACGGACTCTGTACAGAATGGAGGTTTGCACATTAAATCATTCAAGGAATGCCACATCAAAGGCTGCCTCCACCAGTTGCAGATTCAGGCTTTCTGGCAGTGCTGCCATATTTGCATTGCGATAGGTTGTGAAAAGCTCACTTTCCTTTCCGAAACGGCTTCTGCAACGCTCCATCAACATACCTGGGAAGTTGGCGTGGTTGCACAATGTGAAGCTTCTTCCAAGTTTTCACGGCCTAGCTGTGTCTGCATAGCGGGAATGAGCAGTCCAACAACAATAATTTGCTGGGCCGGCCCGAAATCGAATCCGATCTGGACTCCCAAACAGTTGATGTCAAGGTTGCTTCTTGAACTCGGTGAATTTCCGCCGGCGCTGTTCATCATCCTCACCATGCCGTAGACCCAGGGAGGAAATCCGCTGTCCTGAAATGGCTGAGGTGGCTGCTGGCTGAATCATGAGTTAACAGCAACAAGTAGTAGAAGGGTGCCGAAAGCAAACGGGATATGGGACCTTCTTGTCGCTTGCTGAGTTTCTCCACGACGACCACAACAAGAAATTGTCAGGATGCAGACATCTACTGAGAAGCAGGCCCTGGGCCACCTAGGCCCGAGCCCCAAAGTGCGATATGATACCTGTCTGGAAATGTCTGCGCCTCCACCTCAAAGCAGCTGCAACCTTGTCTGCATATCCAGGCCTCCACTGCTGGGCAGTCAACTTCAAACACGACATCTGTGACATCTGAGCTGACACACCCACCACCCTCAAACACACGCAGGCCTCGGAAAGCTGTCGCGAGCTGCTGAGTCGCATCGCCACACAGGACTGAGCAGAACTCAGGCTTCGAATGCTTCTCTTCTACAGCAACGAACGCAATAGACTTTAAGAGGCAGAAATCATCATGGAAAGCAGTTGATGTCGCGCTTCACTGCATGTCCAAGCTTCGCAACGGCGCGCCACCTCGCAAGAAGCGAGCTTGCAGTCGCATTCAACGGAAATCAACCTCTACCTGCTAAGCTGGGGCGGCCTGCATATTGAGTCCCGAAACGCCTACAAATGCCGGACGGACACAACAAAAACACAAAAATGAACACTCATCGCGTTTCGAAAGGGGCCTCTTCGTATACACTCACCAAAGCCCGAACACCCTGTACTTCATGCAGGCTTAATGCTGCGTCGAGAACCCAAAAGCAGGCCTGCTCGTCAACTTCACGAGGATGACTAGACTTGGGACAGGTGTGAGCAAGGGACTTGACGATTCAGAGCCTACGTTTAAGACATGTTAAGATTGTGCGCGAGATCCACGACGTGAAATCAGACTGCCGACTGGCAGGCTGTGACACTCACGAGCAACGCAGCAAGGACGGAACATACAGAAGACCGGCAACTCCCGGCCTCCCACTCTGCAATCGGACTGCTTTGGCTTGGCCAAACGTGAGGGAAAGTGGCAGCTTTGGCCAGGATCGGCGAAAACCTTGGGCTGACTCGGCACCGCACTGATGCTCTGGCTGCTGTTGACAGATGTTGTCAAACTCAAACCTGCATGCACGGGCTTACCTCTCATACGACTTGTCGGCTACGAACAAAAGCGGGGCACGAGGCGACTGACGATCACAGGAGCCACATGCAGCACGCATAACATGCAGCGAGCATGCGTCGAAACGTTTGTATGCAGGCGCAATCATGCACATGCAACTTCCCACAGATGCATTGGCATACCGGACAAAACCGGGTTGAATGCTGTTTTGCAAGTATGGGGTTCTGAAATAAATTCCAGACGGTTCAATTAACAATTACATATCTTCAACTGCCCAGTGCACTGCTAGAGGAGTCGCAGAAACGTACAGGGGCATGTATTTTGCTGAGACCGTGTGAACGGACCGAATAGCAATTCTGCTCACAACCAACCGAGGTGCTCCCCGTCACCTAGCGGCTCGTACGGCTCCGCGCAGGGAGCAAACACCAGGAAGTTCAAGGAACAATGCAAGCCTCACACAAATGCTTTCTGAGTGCAGGCACCGGTAGCTTGGTCGTTGTGCATCAGAGTCACGCACGGCTGCCTCCACTTTGTGGTGGCCGTCGAGTAAAATCCAAGTTCTATGTTTGTTGACACCTCAATGCTTGCAGTCACGACAAGATGCGGCTTTCAAGCGAAACCTGCCCGCACGAAGGTTGTCGAGAGGCTGTGGTCCATGTACCCCTTCTCAACAGCATCTCGCAATCCTCGGATAACAAACACCTTCCCGAGCTGAAGCTCCGGCAGTCACAGAAACGTCCGCAACTTGCGCAAACAAGGCAGCAACGAGCATCCCACAAGTTGCGATGAGCACAGGATAGCATAGGCTAATCCCATTGTCTCTGATTCCACGTTTCGAAGCAAGGAAACACATGCCCGTCTGGCAGACACTCCGCAGACTGGCTGATCATCCACCCGCGCCACCCCTCCAAGTTTCCAGCCACTCCTGTGGCTTCAGATGCACATGCGCCTGCAATCGATCAACTTGATGATTGCATTGTAGACAACAAGCGGTCTAGTCCCCAACGACTTCCTTCAAAACTGACGCTGGTGGCAAGCCGTTTTGGGGCTCTGTCTTGGACTTACGGGGGAGTGTGCTGAAAGCGCCAACCCGAATACAGAAAGTTGGACTTGTGTTAAGACTCAAGACGCCTCGATGGAAGTACAGAACACACTCAGACAAAATAGACTTTTTCCATATTCGACTCGAGGCAGGACTGTGCAAGAGTACCATCATCCAAGTTTCGTTTTTGGAGGCGACGTCCGCCTGGACCTCTGACCTCATCGCCCTCATCAGCTTGCGGAGCGTGGATCTGGCCACCGTTGAAGAAGTCAAGCACCTGGGATAATTACCACAAATAAACCTCCATCCTGAGGCTCTGAATGGTGCTATGGCACGAGTGCAGTGGGCCGCGCATTGGAACCAGTGGCCAGGGCCTCCCGCAGCTGCGCCTCGTAGAACCTCTGCTCACCACATATTCTTACTGCAAGCTGCACTTTTCGCTGCAATGCAACATGGCTTTCTCTGCCCTGTCTCCACCGCTCTGACATCCGGAACATGCCCAATGTCCCATATCGCAACAGCGGCTGAGATGCTGCATCTCTCTCTCGCTCTATCTCTCGACCTCAGTCACCAGTCAGCCGCGACACAACATACAGCAATTTCGCTATGCGCGTGGACCTACAAAACAGCGCAAGAACCAGGTAAATCGAGGCTACAGGGACCTCACGTGAGGCGCCTAAACGTCCCGTCCTGAACTTCTTCGATACCGATTTGAGGTAGCTCTTGCAAGTTGTGCGTGTGACCGCATGAGCGCGACATGTAGTGTCGTGATACGACAGGAGCGCGAGACATAGCAATTGCACCATGAACAAGTCTCGGTATCAGAGACCGAGGAATGTTGCATGCAACTCAGAAACTCCACTCGAGTTGCATCCAAATGCTCCTGGGTCTTGAGAAGGTGATGACATGAGCCTGAGCTGTTTCGCAACTGAAAGCCACGCACAAGTGCAAGGACCAAAGGCCTCACGGGCTTTGGCCGAGCATCAATTCAAGCCCTGATCCTAAGTTGGCCTACGAGCTGTTCACAAGAGCAGTAACATGTTGCCAAGGAGCAGATTCTGCCGTTGCTTTCCAACGTGTATGACAGGTAGCCTTGCACGGTCGTGCGAATGTTTTACGAATCAACCGTCTGCCACTGGCAATATTCACAACTGTCAACTGGCGGGTACTGCGGTCAGTTCCTTCTCTTGTCCTGATGAAGTTGCTTTGTGCTTCGATGTCGCTACCGCTGTGATTTCTCATTCAGTTCTTTACATGCAAGTTGGCCTGTTTGTGCCGTGATGTCTTTGGTCCTTTGCGGTCACCTGACTGATCATCTGTGTCATGTAGACGCCCTTGGGGAGCACTTTGATGAGCCATCCCCTAACAGAGGCCATATTGTTACCACGACAAGGGCGCAAGTTTGCTTAACCGCGACAAGGAAAAACATTACCACGGCAAGAAACTGCAGAAATGTTAGACAAAGACAAACCAATTTGAAGACCCGAGCAGACCCGAAACTGACGGCTGGGGAAAGGGTAATCAAGCATAATCAAGCCTGACCCGACCCATAGCAGTAAGAAAGTAGGTAAGTAAGTGCGTAAGTACGTAAGTCTGTCAGTACGCAAGTAGGTAAGTACATAGGCAGGTAGGCGGGTAGGCAGGGAGGCAGCTAGGTCGGTCTGTCGGTCGGTAGGTAGGCAAGCAAGCAAGTAAGGCTCTGGCGGAAAGGTTAGTCAATGTTAAACGGATTATTGTCAATGCAGAACTTGGTATGCATCCCCAAACGCCCTAGTCTAGGCATTACTCTCGTCGAACTCTCTATGTAATTCCATCTCAAGAATCCAGAAGCAATCGCGGGGGCTGCCCCGGATCTTTTCCAGAAAATGCGTATCCTCCAGAGCATAGGGAGCTTGCAGGTCGTAGTGTTGAAACGTGTCCTCAGTAAACCATGAATTATACTTGGCCTATAGATCTTTGTCCTTGGGGCAGGCTGCATGTTCTGCAGAACAAAGTCTCGATGTCAAGCTCACAAAGCTAGAACGTACTGTTGCAAGTGGCCAGCCGAAAGAACCAGATTCGGAGAGCTCGATGCTTCGCACTCCGAGAAAACACTGCTCTTTAACAAGAAGCACACAAAGTTTGACTCAAACGATCGACTCCATTCATTTAATTTGGGAACTCCGGCAGAAGTTGCAGCTGGCTCTCTGCAGATTGGTAGTCGGGACCCAAAGAGTCTTGCACTATATACCCAGACGGCCGCTGCAAGAGCTTCTGTTCTGCCAGGCATCTTGGACCAAAGCCACATCGTACTTGGCATCCGGGAATAGCATTGACAGGGTGGAAACAGTGCCGGGGTTCAGCAGCTGCGCAGCGTCAATGGCTTGCCTCATTTTGTGTCCAGTCTTTCTCGAATCCATACTGCGCTGTGGAGCTCCTCGCCCCGCCGGCCATTACAAAAAAACGGCCCTGTGGAGCAACTCAAATTCCCCGAAAGACCCTTCGGCACTTCTGAAATCTGAGCCGGGTGCCGAGGGTCCAAAAACCGTCGCAGCTTCTGGCCAAGCGCAGCAATTTCTGTCGCGGAGCCACTCCCGAAGCTCTGGTTCAAGTTGTTCTGTTGCAGGAGTTGCACGTCCGTGGAGCCAGGCGGCCTGAACCACAGGCCCACGGTGTCCAAATTTAGCCGCAGCAGATCGTGCCCGAGGAGTGCCAAACTGCCTTCCATCTGGAAGGCTGCCGACCCTGCCATCTCCAGCTGAAACAAAGCCGGGGAGTGTCGAATGACCAACCGCATGGCCGGATGGTCTGGAAAAGTGCCTCCTTCCCTGTCTTCCTCGCCTGGCAGAACCATCCACTGTCCGAGGAAGTTCTGCAGGTCCTGAATGATGCTAGCATGAACTTAGGGGGTCAACTTGCTCACTTCGCTTGTTACCTAGCTTTCACGTCTTTGGCTAGGCCTCGGTGCTCCCCTGACCACAGAGAAACCGGCTCTAGCAACTTCTTCCATGACTCTCCATGCAAGCATTGCAAGCCAAGGGCAACAGCAGGTCAGAGCCAATCCTGCCGCAGAGGCTTGCATCCGCGCCAGTCTTCAGCACTGACGTGCGGAAAGTAGTCCTTGAAGACACGATGGAGGGCACTGTCCACCTGATGCTGTCGTGAGTTTGCCATTGCTAGCATCACCTAATTAAGGACTTACAGTGCCCACAGACAGTCACCACGTCGACATAAATCAAAGCCATGAGAAGCCCGATCCAGCAAAACCTGCTGAGTCCTTTGTCTCAGGCGCTGCCGCAGGCATACCTGCCGTGCAAGCGCCGGCTGATCAATGACATGGTTCATGATGTTGCCGTTCGAGCATTGACAAATGAGCATTGACAAATGACGCTGATCCGCCAAACGGAGAAAGGATGCCTAATTGGCGCAAGGCTGCTTCTGGAAGATCCCCGCAGTTGCAGCAGCGGTTCAAGGCCAAGCATTTCTCCCAGGCCATTGCCTCGGCTGAAGCTCCGAGCCCCAGAGCACCCCGCCAGCTGACAATCCCTTAGCAGAACCTGGGTGAGCCCAGCTCAGGTTCTACTCTCGGGGCATGTGTGCAGTGCTGTCCGTTGGACTGCAACGGTCACCCATGCCCGAAGCTGCAACGTGTGCATCCCTCAGAGCCTGTAATGGCGAAGTGCACACTGCCGCCGTGCCCATCGCTTGGAGGCCAGCCGCCCGAACCTGAACGGCTGTCAAGGATCCCCCGCGACGTGGAGCGCTGGACATCACGCCTTGCTAGTGTCCAGCTCGAGAAAAGGCGTATCATCCCAACCTCGCAGTATCTTGTAGGTGTGTCGAAGATATGTATGCAGCATGATGCAGCAAACATAAACGCCAACCTGGTTAACGACTCACAGTCATGATGCACAACCTCATGCCGAAGCAAAATCGAACGACGATCCCTGACACCGTCAAGTGATGTTACAGTAACAGCCCAGCGGCGGGCAACAGCATTTCTGGCACGCCCGAGGCTGTCACGCCCCATTTCTGCAGGCACCTGGCAAGCGGCACAGCAACCCAGACTTCTACGATGTTTTTCGGATGCTTTCGGTGAATTTCTCGGACGAGCTACCGGCACGCCTCGAACTTCACTGCACGAATCACATTCACTGCATAGCTCCGGAGCTTCCCTTCGAAATATTTCTCGCGCAGAAACTCGGTAAGCTGGTCGTCCTCAGACTTTCGGCGAGTTGGATCTGCTTTGCAAGGTGAATCAAATCAGAACCTGTGCAACAGCAGAAACGGCTTGCCTGCAGTCAGCTGCTAAACTGACTTGGACCATGGTCTAACCACCCGAACTCCTACCAGGAAACTCTCGGCTTCAGAAAGAGCAGAGTCAAGCTAAACAGCAGCCAGGCTCAAGCTTCGTATAGATCAGCTCCTCTCCTCGGCCACGGAACCATTCGGTCACCTCCTGAAGGCGGCAGACACTCAAACCCAGCACGTTGCGAAACCTTCGCTCCAGGAGCCCCATTTGCCACCCACTTTTCGCCCCTTGGTAATTTGTGCGGGCAACAGTCACAGGCAGTGGGTGGCTTTGAGCGGAATCCTCGCGACAGCTGTTGCCTTGCCATGCCCCTTCCTGTGTGTCGCCGCGCTGTATTGGATCTCGAAATTACAACGACCCTTCCAGAGTGCGAACAGTTACAGGCATGGGAAGTGCATAAGTGTGAGATCCTCGCGGGTGTTCTAATTTTTGGGTCGTGACTGCTGATGTAATGCCAACACTCACAAAGACTGGTCGTCTATGGTCAACGTGACGGGTCATGTTCATGGATCATGATACCATTGCACAAAGCCAGACTTCGTGTCTGACAAATCCAAACTTCATGACCCACCTACACGGGAGGTGTGGAATTCAACCTAACATCCATTCACATTACCTACAGGGAGGATGACAAGCACCAACCCGAACCAAGCCCATCCACAGGGAGATGCGAATTGAAGCAACAACCACCCACAGGCCCACAGGGACAAGCGCTCAACCTACCCAGCCCGCGAAAAGGGGGAGTGACCGGGGAATGCCTGACCATCTATGACGGATCTTACTCGAGCCTAGCTGACCTGACTGTTGTGGTGAAGTGTGAGGCAACGGGCAGCAGCACCACCACCAGCAGCGGCTACAGCCAGCCAAAAAGAGATGCTACAAATCATACTAGAGAGTCACAGAGGAGGCCTGCACTTTTCCGAGCAAGGGTTAAGCACACCCGCGGCAGTATTATCTGTCTGCGTTTTGGCAGCCTTTGCAGCAGCAAACAGAACACTTTCTCCATCACGATGCTGTTTGAGCTAGTGATTGAATCTGTTCTCAACCGCTGCTTTGTCAACCTCATCTCCACTTCGAAACGGGTCTGGAAATTCAGCTTGCCTCTTGCCCTTTCACGGTTGAGAATGTGGCAGGGGTCTAACCAGGCAGGGGCAGTTTTTGCGCTACGAATGTTTCCAATTCCGAAACAAGGGTGGGACCGAAAATGGACCGAAAGCCCCGTGGACCGCCGGCATCTTGTCCTCAGCGCGATCCAAGCATTTTTGCGGAATTGAACTTGCCTCCCTCAGAATTTGCGGTGGCTTTCTCGGGGCCATTTCCGACTCAACTTGATGACATGGAGGTTTTGATTCAGTTGCAGGCACTGCACCTGAGAGAGTTAATAACTGTTTAGTTCGTGCAGCAACATTCCGGCTTTTCCTGGAATGCTAGAATCATCCACAAACAATGTTAAGCCCTTGGGAATGCTCAGGCTCGAGCCTCAAAAAGCTGTCGCCAAAGCTGGCGACTTGATTTTCTGCGCGCGTCCTCTTCGACAGCCTGTCGAGGGAAGCTCCACGGTGAAGCAAAACCAGGCACAACAATACGATGAAACCATAGTCGTAGTCGTAGTCAGCCGTGTAGCAATAACAGTAATAGTGGTACGTAGCCGTCGTCGTTGTCGTAGTAGGAGTAGCAGTAGTAGTAGTTAGTAGCTAGCTAGCACGTAGTAGTAGTAGTCGTCGTCAGTCGTCGTAGTAATAGTAGTAGTAGTAGTCGTCGTCGTCGTAGTTGGTAAGCAGCATCAGTCGTAAGAGTCGTCGTAGTAGTAGTAGTAGTAGTTGAAGAGCGTTAGGGACATGCTCTTCGGTCGAGGCCGCCATAAACTGCTGCCGTCTCCTTCGAATAATAGCTTCAACCTCGTAGAACGACCCCCGAAGGAATCCCGGAATCCATGAGGCAAGGCGCGCGGCCCTACGGACTTTTCGCACGCACAACAGACAACT